ACGCACGTTTGATCCAAAAACTGGAGTTTTTACTTCACCAAACTGACTCCTGTAGACTGTCCAGTCCTCCCTGATTTTACTGGCTCACACATCTGGTCCCATGTTCCCATTTCCTCTCCTAAGCCAGGCCGTACACAGCTCAGCCAGGGATGCTGATGGATCTCCTGTTTGGTCTCTTCACCCTTGGCCCCTCTCCTCCCTGTGGCTGGCATGTCCTTCCAGAGATGTGATGCAGTGGGTGGGGGAGAGCTGGGCTCCGGCACTAGACAAACCCGACTTTGAATCCCAGGTTCTTCAATCATCTATCTGCTTTGGTGATCTGGGGTTAACGCATTTCACCTCTCTAAGTCTGTTTCCTCATGTGAAAGGTGGAAATTGAGATAGCACCTGTATCAAAAAAGAAAAAGAAAGAAAGAAATTTCTGTTTTGATTAATTTAAAAGCATATGCTACATATAAGAATTTCTTAGGACTTCCCTGGTGGTCCAGTGGCTAAGACTCTGAGTTCCCAATGCAGGGGGCCTGGATTCAATCCCTGGTCAGGAAGCTAGATTCCACATGCCACAACTAAGACCCAGCACAGCCAAATAAATAAATATTTTTTAAAAAAAAGAATTTCCTAATGTCTGAATATGTCATAAAAGTTCTTTCAAATAAATATTTTCTATGAAGGGAGTTGACTTTCCCCTGGTAGCTCAGTTGGTAAAAAATCTGCCTGCAATGAAGGAGACCCCGGTTCGATTCCTAGGTTGGGAAGATCTGCTGGAGAAGGGAGAGGCTACCAACTCCAGTATTCTGACCTGGAGAATTCCATGGGCTGTGTGGCCTCTATTCATGGAATTCTCCAGGCAAGAATACTGGAGTGGGTTGCCATTTCCTTCTCCAGGAGATCTTCCTGACCCTAAAGATAGATCTTATCTATTTTTAATAGAATTCCTGCTCCTCCTTTCCTGCCAGTTTTCCCATGGGAGTCTCCTTCCAAGGGGGACGTGTCCTTGCTCCTCTGCCTTCTTGCAGATGCTCATGGGGCTTTCCGTCTATACAAATGCAGAGACTTTGTTTTGGAGAGTTCTTTAAAGTTTTTGTAGTTCTCTCCCAGGCCAGCCCAATTAATTTGCACAACTCTGAGAAACAATCCAGTCTAGTAATTATTATCTCTATTTTTAAAAGGTGAACTGAGGCTCTGAGAGATGGAATAACTGATTCATGGTCATGAATGGAGGCCTGGAGCCTTGGTCTTCTGCACTGTGGCCCTCCCCCCAAGCCATCCTGCCCATATGTGACTGCCACTCACCTGAATTCCTTGTTATTTCTAACAGTGCAAATTGTCCCATTGAGTGCCTACTTTGTATCCCCAGGAAAGATGTAGTCTGCCCCCTTACCCTCTCCTAGTGTCTTGCAAAATATCTATTATGTGGTTAATGTCATTCAAGGTTCTAAAATTTGAATAAATGTGGTATGTTGCAAGACCATTGCAGAAAACTAACAACTGTGTTGACTAGAAGGCTGAACTGATACCCTGACATTTTAATCAAGAGTAAGACATCTCATTCTTGAGGTACTTGTTTCTCTGTAAACGTGTGTTTAGACTTTGAATCCCTGAATTTGGAGTTAGCTTCCTCAGCTCCTGTGTTCCGTGTTCTTGTGTCTAGAGCTCTGACCATGCTTGATTGGAGGTAATCTGCTGATCCATCCATTTCCCCTCCCCCAGGCTGAGAGTCCCTCCAGGACAACACCACATCCAAGTTCTGTCGGTGCCCAGGGCCTGCCACAGTGCTTGGCACATAGTAAATGGAAGTTGAATGAATAAATCAGAAAAAGCCATCTGGTCCATCCCTTCATCCCCCTGTGACTGTGCTTGTTCCTATCCTCTTACCTTAGTTCGCATTATGTATTTCTTATCTCTTATATTGAATCAAAGGCAGGTTCATATTTTACTCATTTTTGTAGCCTCCCAAACAACCAGGGACCCACTCCAGTGTTCTTGCCTGGAGAATCCCAGGGACAGGGGAGCCTGGTGGGCTGCCGTCTATGGGGTTGCACAGAGTCGGACGCGACTGAAGCGACTTAGCAGCAGCAGCAAACAACCAGGGAAGGAAGAAACCATCTTTATTGAGGGTCTATTGTGTGCCAATGATTGCACATATATTATGTCATTATGTTAAAAAATTGAATTTAATTCTTATAACAGGTCGATAAGGTAGGCATTATCATCCCTGAATTACAAAAGAATGAGCTACGAATCAGGGAAATAAAGTAATTGTAATTTGGCCAAGTTTACACAGGTAGTAAGTGTCAGTGCTGGAATTTGAATCCCTGTCTGCTGGCTCTGAGACCCAGGCCTTTCCTTTTTTATGTTGTTTGGTGTTTATTTTTTAACAGCCTGTAGAATAACTGAATGCTTTAGCCCAGTAGGAGTTAGGAACTCTGCTGAATCACATTGAATCGAATCTGTGCAAGCCTGCTCCCCAATGCTTCCAGCACATATACTGCCACCTTTGTATTTGATGAAATGGTTCAGGGAATAAGTGCTAAGCATTCACAGTGTATCAGGCTCAGGGCTGGGCACTTGGGGATACAATGCTGAAGACAGACTTCCTCAGAGAGCTTACAATCTAGTGAGAAAACACATATGTAGTGGGGATTGTAAATATGATCTGTGCTGATAGAACAAACTGGTAGTTACCAGTGCAGAAAAGGGAAGGGGAGGGGTAAGATAGGGATTAAGATATACGAAATAGGTAAGCAAGAAGTATCTATTGTACAACACAGAAAAATATAGCCATTATTTTTTAATAACTATGAAAACGTTGAATCAGTGTGTTGTATACCTGAAGCTAATATAATATTGTAAATCAACTATACTTCTATTTTTAAAAATGTGATCCTGTGCTAAGGGGAGACAGAAGACAAAGGTTTAAGTCATTCTAGGGAGGTCTTGGGAGGTTTCCAGGTAAATCAGGAAAGAGGAATGAGTGGGCGAGACAGGAGGAAAGCACAGAGGAACAGCATGTGCTAAGCCACTGAAGTATGAAATTACAGGTAGAATGGGTCTGGAACAAGGGGATATTTTGGTGAAACAGAACAGGGGAATAAGTGAGATAGTGGAACTGCTCTCCCTGTGTTCATACCATGAACCAAACGTCATGACTGATTCTGACCCTTGCCCCAAAATACAAGCAGTGCTCTTAGCCTAGATGATAGCCAGAACGTGCTTCCCAATCAGGAAGTAAACAGAGAAATGGCTGGCAACACCTCCCTCTGTCTTCTCTAGGGATGCGATGGACAAACACAGTGTTTGCATTTCCCTGATGTATGGGAAACAATGAGCCAGCAATTGAGAGACCCACATGGTGATGTTGTCTGCCTGGATCATGTCATGTCTCAGCAGACCAGGCAGGTTGCTTTGAGTCCATGCTCGTGATGTGCCCCTGGACCAGAGGACCCTGGAGTAGCAGGTGGGAGATGTGAACAAGATCCAGGCCTGTTCAGAATCACTTTCTTAAGTAGTGGGGGGTAGAGTAGAAAAGTCTGCCCACCCTGAGCCAGAGGGCTGGAAGCAGCAAACATCAGTTGGATCCAACTAGGTCAAGTTTCCCTCTTTGCTGTGCCCAAAAATATTCGTTAACTGGAGATTTTAAAAACCCAGCCAAAGAATAGCAGACAACTACATCAACATTATAATGAATTGTATGTAACAGGAATCAATAGGCGTGTGTGCGTGCGTGCATGCTAAGTCACTTCAGTCATGTCCAACTTTTTGTGACCCCATGGACTGCAGCCTGCCAGGCTCCTCTGTCCATGGAATTTGCCAGGCAAGAAGAACACTGGAGCAGGTTGCCATTTCATCCTCCAAGGGATCTTCCCGACCCACTGATTTAACCTGGGTCTCTGATGTCTCCTGCACTGGCAGACGGGTTCTTTACCACTAGTGCCACCTGAGAAGCCCAGTAATCAAGATATATGTATTTATATTCATCATGTGCAAAAACAAATCCGGTATGGTGTTGGTGTTGACTTTTCTCTCCTCTCTTTCCTCCCCCTTGAGACTTTGAAAAATCCTCAGGCCAAGTTCTGCCTTGGTCCTGCCCTGACATTATTCTGTTCTCCTTCTGTGTCATCCATCACTTCCCTGCTACATCCCACTGCAGTCATTATCCTGAGTGATCCTCAGCAAACCACTCTGGACTAGTCATGTCCTTGTATCCAAACCGCCTCGCCCATCCTTTCAATCGCTAGCCTGCCTGCCCCTCACCTTGAAAGGTACATAAAAGCCAGCAAAAAACAGCAGTGCTTATTCCCAGGAATGAATGGTTAAGCCTAATTTCCCTTTATCTTTTGCTCAGTGCCCACCTCCCCAGCTCCACACTCTAATTTTGCCCACACTGATGCATCCTTCACACTGCTGTCTGGATGATTTATCTAAAATTCAAATGTGATCATGTCATTCCCCTGCTCGGAACCCTTCTATGGTTTCAGACCCTTTAAAATGACATCTAAACTCCTGAAGCATTTAGAACAAGGCTCTCCATGGGCAGGCTCCTTCCTACTTCCCTGGCCTCATTTCCCAACTCTCCCCTTGACACCCTGTGACACAGCAATGCTAAATTACTTATGCCTCCCCAAACACACAATGTTACTTAATGTTTCTGAGTCTGCCAGAAATAGTCCTTCCTCTCTGTTCTGTCTTAAAAATCTGCTCAGCATTTAAACCTTTTCTCAACTTTCTTCTTCTCTGAGATTCTTCCAGACAGGAGTCATCTTTCTGGGCCAGCTCTGTGTCTTATTTAGACATCTACCGGTTGCCCTGTCTGCATATGCCCAAGACTTACTTGCTCACAGGGTCTATCTTACTCATCCCAGAATAGCACAGGACCTAACACAGAGCAGGTACTTAGCCAACACAGCTTGGATCATTGTCCAGTTACACCTCCCCATCCTTGAAGGGACTTGTGTTTTAGCCACAGCACCACTGATACCTGCATCTGATTGGCTTTTCAGGTCGGGCCAATCATTGGTCTGCAATCATTGGCGGATCCCACTCCAAGAATTACGTGCTATGGGAGTATGGAGGATATGCGAGTGAAGGCGTCAAACAGGTTGCAGAATTGGGCTCCCCAGTGAAAATGGAGGAGGAAATTCGACAACAGGTAAGAAAAATAATCCCAGAATGACTAAAACCCAGACATGCCGTCAAGCATCCTTTAGCTTTCTTTCCCAGGGACTCAAAACTTATAGGACAATGTGCTGGAAAATTGGTACTATAGGAAGTGAAATCTATTTGCTGAGTTTCAGAGTGCTTATGTTCAGTTGACGACAGAGGCACAAATGTTCATCTTGTTGTCTCACATCTTCCCTGACTGCATTTGTGGTTTCTTGAGCTTGTGCTAAAAGCAGTCGCTGTGGCTGCATTGTTGGGATGCCGCACCTTTGTTCTCCTGAGGATCAGTGTGGTGGGTTACTTTGATTCTTGAGAGGGTCAGGAGAGTGACATTCACACGAAGCTAAAATCACCGTTTCCAAAGAGAAGCATTTGTTTTTCGACACATGTTTTTGCACCTATATCTTGAGGTGTTTGATAAACTGGTCAGTGATTAATCAAAATCATTATAAGCTGAAGCATCTTTAATGTATTGATACAGTGTACCATCTCATGCGGGCCCAGGAGTCAAGTATTATCTAGGACCCCTTTCACACCAACAAAGGATAAGAGAGAAATAGTCTATCATTCTTTTGTATTTGTTGGGAAGTACCATCATCCATCATCAAAAGCACTAGAAAGAGGTTGATGAGGGACCTTGAAAGAAGAGCTGTGGTTTATTGAAGGCCACTCACAGGCTTCACCGTGAGGAGGAGACAGTCCAGCTTTGGCCATCTCTACCCACAAAAGCCCTTGGGCCTCAGAGAGCTGGGTAGTGAACCACGTGTCACTGCTCATAAGTGTACAGGGGGAAGGAAGGAAAGAGCCAGCCATGCTGGGAATGTGGTCGTTTCCAGCACAGGCCACGGTGAGGCTGCTGCCCTGCTGGGCTCCTGCCCCACGTCTCCTGAGACAGTGCAGGGGGCCCTGTGTCTCACGGTGTGTGTGTGCAGCGGGGCAGGCAGAGCTGAGGCCCCCTGTCCTTCCCCCTGATGTCTGCCATCTGGACTCCAAGCTCCCACAGACCCTAAACTGAATGCAGCAAAGGCCACCTGATTCCTGCTGTAATCCCCTGAGGAATTCTTTTGGCCCAGCATCCAAAAACACCCAGGAATTAGCTTATGTTCCTCATTAATTTGATTTAAAGCCTTTCTCCATTTTCAGAAAAAATTGTTTAACCCAGCATTTCAAGATAGTGTGCTATTCATCACAAGTTTATCTTACCAATGACTTAGTGTTTCTCTAGCTCTGGCCGCCACACCTTGTCACTGGTATTGCTCATTTAGGCTATAGCACAGCCATGTTCATCTGCAAAGTCATGAAGGGCTCCATACTGGTCCTCATCTGTCCAGGCTATCATGGAGGGGAGATACCTTGTCTGGGCTCCTGATTCTCAAGCATGGAATTGTGATATATGGACTGCCAAGTTCTGTTGTGTCATATGTTGAAAAACCATTTGTTATAAATAATAGCTGAAGCTAAAGTTAGCATATTAGTTAGATCAAGATCGAGGGCATCTTCCTAATAATGCCCGTGTCACTTGTTGGCTATCTTGAGGGATTTCTGGAGAGAAGGGAAGCATGCAGGAATTCTGAGAAACTGAGACCTCATTGTACTGGAGAACACGATCAGTCATGTGTCATAGCAGTAAGAAGTCTGACAGTTGATGAATGGACCTCCCGCCTTCTGTCTCCTCTTAGGAAAATGTTCTTTGCTTGGTGTGTTCCTGACCAGCACACTTGGGATTAGCTTTTGTACACGCAGACAATGTCTGGTTCTCCCAGCTGGCTAGTGTTCCTGACATTAAGTCATAATAATATTTAATTATGGGTACTGCACATGAAAGTTAAAAATCCCACTGAGCACGTCCTAAGGTCTGTCAGGTTCCCTGGATGCTAACCATGTACTTTTAGCTCTCACCTCTAGTTGGAGAAGACAATATTAATTCCCAAGTTTTTCTGATAAGGATAACTGAGGCACAGTCAGTAGTTAGAGAATTCCAGAACTTGAACCCAAGTCCACCTGGCTCCAAAACCTATATTAGTACCAAATAAATAATTTGCAGGGCCCAGTGAAAATGAGAGGGTCTTTGTTCAAAACGTAAGAATTTTAAGATGGTGGCACTTGAATTTCACAGCACAGGACTGTAACAATCTGCACAGGTCACACACTCATGAGACTGGCCCTCTCTACCCACCTTCCTCGCCCCATAGAGAAACGCACCCCCCTGCCTCCAGTCTCTGAAATAAGCCTATTTCCAGAGCTCTGCTCAGCAGTGCATCCAGCAGTCCAGCTCCTAGAAAAGTCAGACAGATAAAGTGATTTCAGGGTCCCTTCGCTTTCAAGCAACTCATGGTTCTAAATATTGTTCCCTGAAAGCACACCATTTATTCTTCTGTAAGCCAGGTAAGAAACAACATAAAAAAGGAACAAGAATATGAATCCTCCTAGAATATGAAAGTGTCCCCTGAATAACCGGGAACTTGTTTGAACACATCTACAAACTAACACAGTGTTCTCAGCCTTTAATACCTTATATCCTACCAACTGCTATATCAAAGAACCCGAGTCCAACCAGGATGAAAATAAAAAGGTCTCTTTTCCCAAGAAAGACGTTTATATGCTTCCTAGCATTCTCTTATTATAGACTTATCACTCGCTGCAAGTTTCAAGGGCATTAAAAATCACAGTAGATATTGTTGGAGGTAAATCTTATGCTAATGGCTTACAAACACAAATGAACAAAAACAATAATCCCATTAGTAGTGGGAAACTGTAATAATATTATTGAGTATAAATTTTAACGTGCCTATAGCTACAAAACACCAAGAAAATTAATGAAAAATTGCAGCAGCATTATTGGCATTCATGACACTTGTAGCCAGAGAGAGTGGGGGAAGGGCTCAAGGCGCACTTCTTAGCAGGAGACAGAGGCAAATGGGTCCTGGTGGGGATGGTGGATTAGGAATACTGAGAGAAGCCTGGCCTGGCAGGTCACAGATGAATAACCTCAAGTCAGGTGGAGGCAGTAGGGAATGGTAGATCACACATGCAGGCAGACCCAGGACCCAAAAGTGAACTGATGAATATTCATCATTATGAAAATGGTACACTAAGACCATTTTTGTTTTGTCAAGTATACATCTATGGCTCATGTACAAGGTGTGTGGGCCCAAAGATGGTGCCCCCTTCACCATGTTATTCATGCTAGAAACTTGGGCATCACCCTTGATTCTGCCCCCATCCCAACTTCTTCTGCCTTCTCTCCTAAATTCCTCCAGGTCACTTCCTCAGTATCACACCTCCATTTAAACCATCCTCATCTCTTGCCTTAATTATTGCACTAGCCGCCTGACCTCCCTGCCTCCAGCCTTCTTCCTGTTATTCACACTGCACCCCAGCCATTTTATAAAATATCCATTGGATTTTGCCACTCTCCCAATTAGGATGTTTAATGGCTACTAACTGGCCCCAGAAAAATGTCCAAACTCTTGATCATAGCTTAAAAACCCTCCATGATCTGACCTCCCCCATCTTATTGCTTGCTGCAACTGTAAGCTGAACCAGTGCCAAACCTCTTTCATACTCTCCAAAAGCCATACCTCTCTTGCATCTGGGCCTTCTGTCAGTCTAGAACATCTTCCAGCTCCCTTTCAACTGGTGAGCTCATGTTTATACTTCAGAACTCAGCTTAAGTGTTGCTCTTCCTGGAAGCCTTCCCAAATTCTATACAAAATCTGCCCCCTGGCCTGGTCCTCCCACAACACCAGGTACCTCCCCCATCATTACCATCATCACATTTACTGCAAGTTCTTGTTTGATATCTCTCCTTCACTAAACTGCAAAGTTCAGAAATCCATGTTCTCCATCTCTGTATCCTCTGAGTGGATATAGTGTTAATTGTTTCATAATTGTTTCCTGCATAGATTAATTCATTTGATAATTTTACTGAACACCTACTAAATAAATGCCAGGCATTGGAAATCCAGCAGCGATGAGATCATTTCCTACCTTCAGGGAATCTACATTCTAATGGAGGGAACAAGGAGGGGAAATGGTTAAATAATTATAAATTAAGGTAAGAAAAGAAACTAACAAGGAGTGGCGTAAAAAAAATAGTAAGAAGGAACCTTGTTAGTAAGGTGGTCAGGGAAGGTCTCTGTGAAGGGTGCCCATTAAGCTGAGACCCAAAAGAAAAGCATCAGGAAAACATCACTCTGGATGGTGACAACAGCATGTGCAAAGACTCAGAAGTAGAAGAGAGGTTATTATACTGGAAGAACTGAGAGAATACTTGTGTGGCAAGAGAAGAATGAATGAGGGGGAGTGTGGCTCCATGTGCATTAAGGACACATTGTCTCCACGCTGGAGAGATTCAAAGATTGGGAGGGTGAGGTGGACATATAAATTACTATTTCCTTATAATGTACTTAGATTCTTTAGGGGGATCTCTGCAACAGCTGAGGAAATGCAGACATCAGACTGTGTAGCTGTTGAATGTGCCATTCTCTGGGTCCACTTTCCCTGCAGACGTGTTAGACACATGTGTTTCCCAGCCCCTCCCTCTGGGCAGGCTGGGTCTGGCGCCCCTTCCTGGAGTGACTGCAGCTCCCCGTGCGGTCCTTTTCCTAGACAGAATGGTCCCTGCTTCGTTCCTTCTCCATCTCCCAAGCATGTTCTGTGTCCCTGGAAGGTGGGCACTTGTCGATTTTCCTCTCTGCTCTGTTGTTCCTCATTCTATTGCTTCATTATGGTTTCTTTTATTCTCTTCCATTTTAAACATGTCTAATTGTCTTACTCGGATTATTCTGTTACCTCAGGGTCTTAGGGACGAATGTTGCTTTGAATTGAACTGGCCCACCCTCCCCATCGCTAGTGTCCTTGATTGACTTTGGATTGTTTGCTCATCATCAGTGGGTATTTTTCTTTGTTTCCTGTGAGAGTCCTCTATGCTCAAGTTGTATTGTCTGCTCAAGGGGAGATTGTGTTTTTTGTCTTTCCACCCCGGTT